TGGTCCCCAGCAGACATGTCATCACAGGCTGGTCCCCAGCAGACATGACATCATAGACTGGTCCCCAGCAGACATGACATCATAGGCTGGTCCCCAGCAGACATGACATCATAGACTGGTCCCCAAAGATATGTTGCCATAGACAACTCCCCAACAGAGATGTTTCCATATACTGGTCCCCAGCAGACACATCATCACAGGCTGATCTCCAGCAGACATGTTTCCATATAAGGGTCCTCAGCTCCCAGGCTGAGCAGCTCCATTTGCCAGGAAGGAGCCAGCTACTAAGCAAAGCACTGAACAGCACTGATCATGTGACAGTTAGACCCACTTAAGCACATAGACTTGGTTCATCTGCAGCAGAGCAAGCCATTCAGAACTCCTCTCTCATATTCTCTCCAAATGCCTAGAAGACATTTATCACATGTCAATCTGCAAGCTAAATATTTACAAGGCTAATATACTGTAGCTACCACAGCCCTGTTCGTTTTAGCCAACAATTATCAGCGCAAGACAAACTATATGCCCCCTTGGAATTTTGCAGTCAATATTAGGAAGTTCAATAGCCAGCCATTATGCCTGTCATCCTGGAAACCCCTAGCAGTGCCATATCTCTGGACTGGCAGAATCCTGAGGTAACCAGGGTAGAATGGGTACTTATGAGGAAGAGAATTGGTCAGAAACCACACAGGAACTGAAGGGCAGACTGCTTGGGAGTGAGGAAGGGAGGAAATAAAGAAGTACGGAATTGGGTTGAATTCAGCGCTCGCTCTCTCTCTCTCTCTCTCTCTCTCTCTCTCTCTCTCTCCCTCCCTCCCTCCCTCCCTCTCTTGTATTTGCATATTTCAAAAGTGAGCTGTAGCTTGTGAGTCAAATGAAGGACAAGTGACAAAGCGTCAAGGTTTCTAAGACACGGGAGAGCTTGTTCGGGTTTGGGATGAGTTCATGCACCATAAGGCAGTGTTGCATTCACAGGTCCCTCTCTCAAGAGCAAAGTGGGGAGTAACTTCTGTAGCTCTCTATCCAGGGAGTGCAGAAAGGGCTGAATTACAATACATGAATTTACATGAGGAATCGTTTTTCATCGAGCACGAATGCTTAAGATGAAAGAGTAAGACATTATGCACCCAAAGAGAGCTAAGCTTCTTTAAAATAATCCTGTTAGAATGTGAATTTTTAGGATCTGATAAATTTATGAATGTCATCAGACACTGACCTGTCACCTGTATCTACTGCTCCTTGCCAATCTATTCAAAAGAAGGAACTATGGTTTCTCAAACATTTCTGAATTTACATTTCACCTACTCTCTAAGAACAGCAGCAAAAGCAGAAAAATCTGACACCCTGAAATACACTCCAAGGACCTATTCTTCAGGAGAAATAATTCAAGAGCCCTACCCAGGCCAGGAAAAGGATTGCTTCTGGGAGCCTAAGCCAAGAAGCCAGGGACTGGCTTGAGCCAAGAGGAGAAACTGGGAGTGGAGCCTCGAAGTCTGGTGGAGCAGGGGCGGGGCTTCAGAATGGTTGTCCAGGTTACCGGAGGCGGCGCTACCTGGGCCGGGCCTTTGTTGCCTAGGTATTAACTGTGGCTACATCCAACGATCTTGGGGGCCTAGAGTGGCCGGATGGCGTGCTTTGGACGCTACTGTGGGAAGACCCTATTATTTAAAAATAGCTCAACTGAAATATATGGAGAATGTGGGGCGTGCCCAAGAGGACAGAGAACAAATGAAGAGAAATACTGTCAGCCTTGCACTGAGTTCCCGGAACTTTATGACTGGCTTTACCTTGGTTTCATGGCGCTGCTTCCTCTAGTTTCCCATTGGCTCTGCATTGAATGGGACTCAAAGAAAAGTTGTTCCAGCGGTGTGTTCTTTCAGCAAGTCTCTGCGTTACTTGAATGCAGTATGGCGGCCGTGGTCACATTGCTTGTAAGTGATCCCCCGGGCACCCTTTCCATCTATTCCTGCGGGGTACGAATGCTTTCAGATTGGTACACGATGCTCTACAATCCAAGTCTAGATTACATCACCACCCTGCACTGTACTCAGGAAGCCGTGTACCCACTGTACACCATCGTGTTCGTGTATTACGCTTTCTGCTTGGTATTCATGATGCTGCTCCGACCGTTTCTGGTGAAGAAGATCCAGTGGAGCCTATACTTGCCAAACCCATTTGAAAGTATTTACACTGCTCTCTACTTCTTCCCGGGTTTGACTGTGTTGCAGGCCGTTGCAGGCGGCCTCCTGTACTATGCCTTCCCCTACATCGTACTGGTGGCATCTTTGGCTAATCTGGCTGTGTTCCTGGTTTTTGCTAAAATTGAGAGCTACAGTGATCTGAAAAGAAAGGACAGACTTCTTGTCCTGTTCAACCACTGGTTTCTTCATGCCTTTGGCTTAATTGCCCTCTCCAGAGAGAACCAGCTTGAACAAGATCTGCTCCTTCTATGTTTGGTACCTGTCCCAGCCCTTTTCTACTTCTTCACTACCAAATTTACCAAACCATCACGAATAATCTCAGAAGGAGCCAAAGGAAACTGAATACAAACTAGAAAGAAAAACTACTTAAGTGTTTTTAACTTTAAAAAGTAAAGAAAATTTAAAACGTATTAATATCATTCTGTGAGAGATGGGAATAGTAAATATATATTTGTGTGTATGTATGTATGTGTGTGTGTATATATATACATATAAAACAATCTTTTGTTTTTATTGTATGTGTGTATCTGCATAAATGTATGTTACATTTGTGCAGGTGTCGATGCAGTCCAGAAGGGGGCACCAGATCCCTGAAGTTAATTTCAGGTCATTGTGAGCACCTGATGTAGGTGCTTGGTGCTAAACTCTCCTCATCTGGAAGAGCAGCAAACATGGTTCACTGCCGAGTCATCTCTCCAGCCCCAAGAAATAGTATATTTCCATGCTTATGATGTAGGTGCTTGGTGCTAAACTCTCCTCATCTGGAAGAGCAGCAAACATGGCTCCCTGCCGAGTCATCTCTCCAGCCCCAAAGAAATAGTATATTTCCGTGCTTATTTTCTTTCTGTTGTTTTTATTTATACTTTTTACTAACATCTATAGTTAGACTTGTAAAACACAATACACACACACACACACACACACACACACACACACACACACACACACTATAGTATAGTATCTACTGCCCTAGAATCCTATTCGGAAGTCTGAGCTATTCTTTAGCACATAGTGGTTATTCTATTCAGACTAATGGGAATATCCCATCTTCTTACGAGAAAAAAACCTGAACAGTTAGAACCCGAAAGCCTCGGCACTGGCTTGATCATTTGTACTTGTTCTGTCTCCATTTTCTTTTCACCTTTAAAGCATCACAATGGCAAACATGCTTACAGGGTGTGACAGCAAATACAGAAATAAATTATAGGGGTTTTGTAGTTGTCCTATATTTATTTTTACCAATATACTGTTTTCATAATACAAAAATAGAGCATCATTTATATACCAAGCTTTCTGTTTGGAGAGAGCTTGAAGACGTGTTTTGACTTTTGTCTCTATAATGAGGAAATAATAAAGTTTAAATAAAAATAAGCCCAGTCACTCACCCTCTGAAGTTCAAGTTTGCTATGCTCACTTCTGCCGACTGATCCTAAGATGATATTGAGAAGGCCTTTGTCAGCACATGCAAACACTCAACATTCTCTTTGGGGGCATTTATTTGTACATGAAACAGGTCATCCCATCGAAGCAAACTGTGCTGATGGGTTGTTTGTTTGTTTGTTTGTTTGTTTGTTTTGAGACATGATTTCTCTGTAGCTTTGGAGCCTGTCCTGGAACTAGCTCTTGTAACCTTGAACTAACAGAGATCCTCCTGCTTCTGCCTCCCAAGTGTTGGGATTAATGGCATGCAACACCACTGACTGTCTGGGCTGATGGATTCTTAAGCAGCAACTTGGAAAGAATGGCAAGGGTTGTGGGAGAAGGTCCTAAGTACAGCCTCATTAGACGGTCTCCAACATGGTCTGACATCACAGATGTCAAACTATGGGATCTTTTGATAGTTTGTCAACTTGATACAACCTACAATCACCTAGAAAGGCAGTCGCAATGAGGGATTGTCTAGTTCAGGCCAGCCTGTGAGCATGTCTGCGGGGCTTGTCTTGATTGTATTAGTTGATGTGGAGAAACCCAGCCTGAAAGCGGGTGGCACCTTTCCCAGGTAGAGGACCCCGAGCTGTGTAAGTGTAGAGACAGAGATGAACACGAGAAAGCTTGCATGCGTTCATTCATGGCTTTCTGCTCTTGGCTGCCTCTGAATTCCTCAAAAGGATGGACTGTAACCCAGAACTCTGGGCCCCTTTCTCTAAGTTCCTTTTCTATTCTTACACAATAGCAATGAAAGTGGGACAGCTCTGGGCTGTCCCGATGAGCTCCAGCTCATCAGTTCCGGAGCAGGTCTGAGGATCTGTTTTTACTTTCTCCATCAAGTGGTTTTTTTTATGACCTCATGGGTCAGGAACCACTGCAGGTTAGTCCTGGAAAGGTCCCAGTGCGGGTGAATTCTATACATCTGATGGCTAGCTCCTGGGCGGTGGCTACTCAGAGAGTCCAGTTTCCTCACCTCCCATCCCTGATAGGAAGGTAAGAGTACAAGCAAAACAGATAATTTTAAAAAAACAAAAACAAAAAGGTTTAGATCAAAGTGCAAAATGATTCTTGCTCCTAAAACTGCTCAGCAGAGTGTAGAATTTGTCAGAGCACGGGCCATGGGGAAGGGTTGCCTTTTCCACGCATTGGCCTCATTGCCTGGGTAATGAGGTCCAACAGAAGTTAACTGTTCATCAATCTCACTGCTAAAAGGAGTTACTCTTACTCCTGGGGGAGAGTTAAATGAAGAGGTTACCGCAAGAGGCAGAAGCATTGCTCCAGCACCACCCTCATTCTGCAGATAAGAAAGTGGCTGTCTCCTTCCAGTGATAATGATAAATGGGTCCCTCTTTATCAAAGACTGAGTCTCATGGGCACATCTTAATCCCATGGGTGCTGCCAGAGGTAAAAGTTTATCAGCAAACAGTTTTGTCTTTGTGTGAGAAGGGCTTCAAGTTGGCTGTAGTGACTCCATTTTGGCACCTCGAATGAGTTTCGTCTTACTGGATTAGGAACAGTAACTATAAGGAGGAACTGACAATTCTGGGAAAAAAAGAAAAAGCTTCAAGAATGTGAGTTCTTTGTAATCGTCCCCCTGACCTCGCTGTTTTTGCTAATTGTATATTTTGGCTTTTATCATTATCTGCTTAACTTGCAGGAAGGGAACTTTGGGAACTTTCCAGCCAGGATGAGGTTTTTCTTCCTTAAAAAGAGACCCTGAAAAAGGCTCAAGACTGCCGTTGGGTGCCAAATACCCATGTGTAGTCACCAGACAGCTGAAATAATGACTTTTAATTGACTCATAGACTGTGTCTAAGTGATCATCTCTGGTGGGAACCCCACAACACTTCATAGTGTTCACTATAGGATAGGAATTTCCATGCTCTGACACTTAATAGTGATTGTTCACTTGATGGGATTTAGTATCACCATGGAAACATACCACGAGGCATGTTGGGAATGTGTTTCTAGTTTAGGTAAATTGAGGTGGGAAGACTCACCTTATCTATATGTGCTTTGCACCATTGCACTGGGACATGGACCTGCAATTAATAAGAAGGAGGAACTGAACTGAGCTTCAGTATTCACTGCTCTCTGCTTCATGACTATGGGCACAAGATGACCAGATGCTTCGAGTTCCTTTGTCATGCCTACAAGGGAGCCAGCTGCCTCATGTTCCTATGTCATACCTTTCCTTTATGATGGGCAGTATCCCCTTGAACTCCAAATTGAAATACACTCTTCCTACCTGACAATTTTGTTTATTGTTTAGGTATTTCACATCATGCACCCCAATTCCACTTAAATGTCTCTCGGATATCCTGCTGTTGCCTGGAGTCATGGAGATCCTGCAGCTATGGTTCAGCAGGACTAGTCCCTTCACCTGTTCCAGCAGGTCATATTTGGAAATAGATGTTGGAGTATGCCAACTCAAAGCCCTGGAGGTGGGTCTGGGTGGTAGCAGAGTTGGTCAGTCCCAGCCTCTACTAGCCCCCTCGGGTGAGGGTCAGGATCAGCTCTCCCACCAGCATGGTGATGGCTGGAACCAGCTATTCCATATTCGGGACCAGCTCTTCCACGGAGACTGCCCATGACAGGGAGTTGGGGAAGCAGGGGTGCAGGTCTCCGATGCACACATCACTGAGGTCAGTTCTCCCAGGAGGGGAGGGCAGCTTTGTAAGTATATTCCACCATCCCCATTCTGTGAGTGTGGCTGTCGACATCTTCAGCATGGCAATAAATACAAGAAACACAGCATCCTGGGCACAGGCGTGAACTGATGGCCATAGATTTCAGAGTCCACCATATTTACTCCATGAAGCTCTCAATTAAAAACCAACAAGAAAGCCCAAGGCAAAATAAAAAGAAATAAAAAAAGGAAACCTGTCCAGAATAAAGCTAATATTTACCATGCAAAATGTGAGTATAATAATAAACAAAAATATAAAAGCTGGAAGGTGCTTCAGAGGAAAAAAATGTGAAGAAAAGTGCTTCAGGGTTTTTTTTTTTTCATTTTAGCTGAAGAAAGATCAGAGCTGGGGGAGCACAGTGTGTCCCTGTCCTGGGAGGGGTGCCGCCGTCAGTTCACTGTGTCCCTGTCCTGGGAGGGGTGCCGCCGTCAGTTCACTGTGTCCCTGTCCTGGGAGGGGTGCTGCCGCCGTCAGTTCACTGTGTCCCTGTCCTGGGAGGGGTGCCGCCGTCAGTTCACTGTGTCCCTGTCCTGGGAGGGGTTCCGCCGTCAGTTTACAGGAACTATTCGATGATTCCACTTTCTCAACAGACAGACAGAATAAAATTTCCATTTGGTCCAGCACATATGTGTAGTGTTTTACGCTTGTGAATTTTTGATACTTTAAATGCAGTTCCAGTACAGACTGGTTCCCCACTTAACAGGAAAAAAAGGAAGAAATTCACTTTATTTCTATGGAGTTTGGAATGTGTATTCATTTTTTTTTTAATTCTACAAATTACTAGAGTTAGCTCCACGTTTGGGATTTGATTGCCACTTTCCTTCAAAGTCAGCTTCCTCAAAAGACTCACTCAAGTGTAAAAGGCCGTGCCCATATATTACACTGTGCTTTATTTCTTTGGCCAGTATTTGTCTCCCATGATGGTTGCATCCCAATTTATAGCAGACAGTAGGTCATTTTTATTTCTCCACATAAAAGTCACATGACTTTTCACAGACATAATGTTTTATTTACCCAATACGATTATGATACACAACCCTGGGATTGATATTGTACCAAGAACTGCTTGTAACACATGTAGGTAGGGGCTGACAGGCAAACTTATTCCTTTCTAAAACCCTCACTCTCTTGCTTTCTCAGTTGTAGCCCTATAAATCCGATGTCCTGCGTTAGTAATTTTTAAAATATACTGTATGTGTCCCGGTGATAGCCATCTTACTCTACGCCTTAAATCCGTACTTAGAGACAGCAATGCTGCCACTGAGAATATCGCCATTACAGAAGAGCAAAGATAAAATATACAGCCACTGCTTGTTGCAGAAAGGCGCTGGCCACCAAGACCTACGGCCTAAGTTTGATGCTCAGTCTCACATGGTGGAAAGAGAAAACTGACTTCTCCAAGTTAACCTCAGAACTCTCTAGGTGCACTCGGACACACACACACACACACACACACACACACACACACACACACACACA